CTTTATAACAACGTTATTTATTCATCATTTCTCAGCTACAAAGACTCCACTTTCATTTTGAAAGTAGGGAGATGAGGGTAGCAAACAGAGCCACCTATCGTCAATAATAAAACTACGTGTATATTACATATATATTTGTTTTGATATAATTTCTTTAATGTGTCACGAGATTTTTGTTCTGGTAGAATAGACGTTTTACACGAACACACACGTGTGCTCGTGCGTAAAACACGCTCAAAATATTGTATTATCAAGCTAGCGAGCGTCTCGTGCTTTAAGTTCTTTAACACAATAGTATTTCTCTCTCTCTCTTTCAGATCAATTAATGGACTTTTTTTGTACTAAACTTCCTTCTAAGTTAACTACAACTAAACGAACACCGTAATTCACTTTAATAGAGCAGATACACGCGCATGTGTGCTAAGACAATGTTTTAGTTACTGAAATTTAATGCACTAGTGAACATAACAAGCGTAAACAAAGTGCTGCATACATTAACATGATCTCCAGGGTACAGGCTATGATGTGGGATATAAAAAAAATACAGGTTAGAAGAACGAGATGTGGGTGTTCAAGTCCATAACGTCCCACATCTATATCACCCTTTACTGCCTACAGGTGATTGTTCTCCAAAGTAATAAAAGATAAAGTACTACACCTTGGGGGGTAAGTAAGATAAACTTACCTCTTGAGTTTCGCATTCCAGCTCCATTATTTCTTTTCTTTTGACGATTGTACTTGATTTTTTTTTATGAATTTCTTAACGAGAGACTGGCGAACGGAGGTTAAGACTGATAGACGGTGTATCCCCACAGCAATGTGGGTCCTACTTCCGCAGTCACCTCCAAAACCCAGGGCATATTTTATATCCCACATTATAGCCTGTACCCTGTGGATCCTTTTAATTTATGCAGTGTTTTTAATTTAATTTTGTTTGGGCTTGTTTTGTTCATGTTATTATTGGTTGAAGATACCCCTCTGTTTGTTCACAGCTAGTAGAGCGACTGGTGATTCTGTTTGTTCGTGTGGTTTCACGTTATTGTTCGTTGAAGATACCCTTCTGGATGGACACAGCTAGGAGAGCGACTGGTGATCCTGTTTGTTCGTGTGGTTTCACGTTATTGTTGGTTGAAGATACCCTTCTGGATGGACACAGCTAGGAGAGCATCTAGGGATCCTGTTTGTTCGTGTGGTTTCATGTTACTGTTGGTTGAAGATACCCCTCTGTTTGGACACAGCTAGGAAAGCGTCTGGTGATCCTGTTTGTTCGTGTGGTTTCACGTTATTGTTAGTTGAAGATACCCCTCTGTTTGGACACAGCTAGGAGAGCGACTGGTGATCCTGTTTGTTCGTGTGTTTTCGTGTTATCAGATGGCAAATGACGCTAGTTTAATTTTCGTAGTGTTGTCCAACATCCCAGTAATACAGAACAACCCGTTCATCTCTTGATTATCATCTTCTATATAATTCTTGAGACAGTCCTTTACTCATTTACCGTTAAGTTTGAAGATAATTTATTGCCGTGTACGTAGGTAACCACGTCTGCATTTAACAGCAGAAGTAATTCCCTCGTAGTTTCGTTGAGCGTGTACTTAATACACAAACTCACAAATTATGAGACAACAACAGTTCGCCGATTCTATATAATCTCACATCGAAATATTTTATCACTAAATTTTTTCTAGTTTTATGAAATAAGTCAAAGTTTGGAGATGTTTCCACCTTAACCTGATAATTTTTTTAACTCCTGTAACTCGAGATCTGTAGATGTTTCCACTTTAACCTGATATTTTTTTTAAACTCCTATAACCCGTTATCAGGTTAAGGTGGAAACATCTACAGATCTTTTTTTTTAACTCCTTTAACCCGAAATGTGTGGGTGTTTCCATTTTTATCGAGTTAAGCGATATAGCCAGTTGGTTTGATAATATTGGATCTTTTCACCCCTTCGCCAGGGAAAAGCGAGTTAGAATGTCTTTTCTCTCTCTCTCTCTCT